CTTTTATTTGCTCATCTGTCTAGCTGTTTGCCATCCTGCTGTGCATCCATCCATCTGTTCACCCCATGCTTCATAACCTAGTGTGAGCCAAGCACTAAGCTCAGAGTACAAAGATGCGTAAAGCATAGTCCCTGTCCTCCTTCTCAGAGTCCCTGGAGCACAGTGAGTCCCTCATCTTAACTTATAGCCTACACATTGAAAGGAATTTTAAATAGAATTTAATATTAAAAATCTTTGCAAATAAATACAACGTATAATGCACCAAAATTGACCAGACCCAAATTTCATACAACTTAATGAACTTGTATCTAGTTAGAATTGGCATTCAGAATGGAAGCTGTAAAGCTTAGATTAATTTTCTCACTTTTAGTATCAAATAGATTTTATGCACTTAGCAACCACCAAAAACAAAAGATCCATGACAGAATTAGGATTAGAAAAACAATTAACTTTATATTCTTTTTCATAACTTGTCTCCTTTCTGAGAGAATTCAGTTCTTTCTTATCTCCTAACACTCAGTTTTTCCTGTTCTCTTTCATTCATGTTATACTGTACATATATATATATATATATATATATATATATATATATATATATATATATATATATATATATATATATATATATATATATATATATATATATATATATATATATATATATATATATATATATATATATATATATATATATATATATATATATATATATATATATATATATATATATATATATATATATATATATATATATATATATATATATATATATATATATATATATATATATATATATATATATATATATATATATATATATATATATATATATATATATATATATATATATATATATATATATATATATATATATATATATATATATATATATATATATATATATATATATATATATATATATATATATATATATATATATATATATATATATATATATATATATATATATATATATATATATATATATATATATATATATATATATATGTATATATATACTGTTAGCAACTGGGAAAACAAAACATTCATTAGGTCATCCATCCCCCTATCTGTCTGTCCATCCTTCCATCCATCTACCTATCTGTTTACCATCTGTATGTCTTAACCTTTTATGAAGCCGGCACTAAGCTAAGGATCCAAAGATATTTAAAACATGTTCCCTCGCCTCAGACTCAGAGTCCCTGGAATGCAGTGAGCCGCCACTCATCGTAATTTGTATCAGATGCATTCTATGAGGACTTTTGGGGACAGTGGAAAGAAAAGAACACGTCCCTTTAGTAGTGCGAGAGAAGACACAGAGTATCTGTCACCAGCATTATCCAAGTGGCACCCACATGCATTCCCTTGTGATGGAATGATGTCCTTCCTCTATAAGAATGGAGCTCATTGGCCAGCCAGCCTAGCTGAATTGATCAACTTCAGGTTCAGTGAGGGACTCTGAGACTCTGTGTCTGTAAATAATGTGGAAAGCCGTATCAGGAATAACCAATATTTATCTCTGGCTTCCATATGCCATTTAGACCTATGTCGCACAGACAGACAGACAGACAGACAGACAGACACACACACACACACACACACACACACACACACACACACTATGGGGTGCAGAGGAAGATATATCACACCAGCAGCTAGAACATGCCCATGGGCATTTGTGGAGTGACTGGAGGGAGAGGCCAGGCCTGGGCCTGCAGGCACAGCTAGACTCTTGATTACAGCTAGGTCTTGTCCTAACTCCTGTGACTGTGGCTCTCATAATACTGTTAATGGGGCCCTGGGGAAGAGCCAGCCAGGGTCAGAGCAAATGCGCACAGGCATACATAGCATCCTCACCTGCCCAAGGTTTTCATCAATTAGCCTGGAGCCCAGGCATCTGCATTCTATGGGCAACTGTGTGTCTTTGGGCAGGGAGAGTCTTCCAGATCCTTTCCTATGCTGTAATTACCCTGGGGCTGCAGCTCAGGAGCCTACAAGGGTCTCTATTCCCTACAACCATTATGTCTTCAGTTCAGGCTGGATTCCCACAAACAAATCCACATGAGATACCCTCCCTCACTGAAGTACTTCTAGGTGACAGAAGCCTTTTTCACTGTCCCATCCAGTCTGCATGTGGGCTCCGCCTTGCTATTTGACAACCCAGGAAAGTGAGCCTAGGAGGACAGTAGGCAAGTTACACCCCGGAGAGACAGCTCAGCAGCTATACAACCTTGTCCTTTGATATTTTCTCAGTACTTCACTGTGGGGAAAAAAATCCTTCCCAAAGGTGTTTCAGCTTTGAGGAAACTAAGAAAGGGTACTTCTCTGGACAGCTGGGAATCTCAGCAACCCTGCTTGGTTAAGGCCTAGATCACACCCTCATCACATGGGGTCTCAGTCAGAGGGGAAAACTGAGCCCCAGGGAAGCCAGGGTGGAGAGTGTCATTTTCTCTTATGTCATCTATGAGCCCCCAGCAGCATCTGCAGTCTCCTTTGAGCTGAGGGACAGGGAATGTGGGTGATGAGTATCACAGTAGAGGTGTGGAAACAGGACCCCTGCCTCCTGACTGATCTTGGTGTGGAGACCAGTGGTCCAGGATGAGCAGAACTCCCAGTTCAGAGAGCCAGGCTGGGCTACCCCAGTTTCCTTTTGGAAAAGACTACACATTCTCACCTGGGGCCCCTTGCTGTGACAGGCTGCAGCTGAAGAGAATCACAGGTGTCCCCTTACTGCCTCTGAAGGCAGGACCTTCATGATACAGTTGCCTGAATGCAACTGTAGTCTGTTTTTGTAGGTGGCAGTTGATTTGTTTGCGTTCCACCCAGCTAAGGGGTGTAACCCTGGCCACTCAAATGTTCTTCTAGATAAAAGTGAAGAAGCCTACATTTCCCTATCTCAGGTTAACTAGGGGGTTTGTGGATGATGGTGGTGTGGGACTATGACACACAGGCTCCCTCTCTCCCTGCCCTGCTTTCCTCTCGTCTGGTGTAGATTATCATTCAGTGTCAGCTACTTGGAAGATAGGTTAAAATGGGCAGAATACAGACTTTACTGGTACCGGGGATCCTTGTAGGCTGAGAAAATTAGGGATGCTGATTCTTTGTATACCGGAATCAGCAACATTCAAAGACTGTGAGGCTTCTGAGCGCCCCAGGATGCCCTGGGAACACCTGGCAGGTTGCCACCATTGCAGCTAACAAGGAATAGGCATCATGTGCTCTTAACCCGGATCATTTCTTCCTCTCATCTATCCTTTACCTACCGCCTGTCTCCTTTCTCCCTTCACTGAGACAGGAAGAAAGATGCAGGTGAGACTGGTTCTTAAAGCTTCATCATAAACTTCACTGCTAAGTTTTCTTTTATGTTTTTGTGTTGTAGTTTTGGTTTGGTTTGGTTTGGTTTTAGAGGGGAAGGGGAGAGTTTTGTTGGATCTGAGCTGTTGGACCAGACGCACGTAGCAGAGGCTGGAGGCGACCAAAGGCATAGGACAGATACTTGTCCCACATGTGGAAGAAGTGGAGAGGTTAAGAAATTTGCAGTGTCGAATATGTTGTCCTCCCTCCTTGATGCCTAACCCTGCTCCCCTTCAGGAAGGGCGTGAAAGAGCCCTACGCCCTGGGGAGCTGAGTTGGCCACTTTCACCGGGTTGTGTTGGCAAGCACCTGCCTGCTGTTCCCCAGGTGCCCCTTGCTTTCACTGGATTTAAGCCTTTAAAAAAGCAACACCTTGTATTTTATTTCATTCCCTTCTCTGGAAGGCCCAAAGACATTTACAGGCCTGAGCCCGGCAGGCTTTATGGTAGCCCATCAAAAGGCAGGGACTGCGTCCTTCCACTTTATAGTGTGGAAAATAAAAAGCACAGGATGACAGAGGAACTCTCCTGAGGCCAGCGGTGCTTCCAAGGAAGGAGTAGAAACCTAGGAAGTTCCCAGCACTTTGGAGAAGCCTGAGCCCACCCAGAGCTTCTGGAGAAGAGTGTGAGAGCTCTTGTCAGCCACTGCAGAGGTCTTTACCCTCCTGGGCATAACAGAACCCAGAGGGGACCCCACTGTTGCATGAGGTCCCCTATGCTGGAAGTAACTGGAAGCCTGGTATGGAAAGGGTACAGACTGAATGGAGAGATCGAGAAACATGCCCAGGAGCTCGCCCCTTTGACCCCTGACCCCTGACCCCTGGAGGTTATGCTTCCTGGAGTCTGGAGACAAACTGGGTCATTTGTGCCACAGGCTGTTGAAAAGCCTCCCTTTTAGAGGGTGCTCAGCAGTGTAGACTAGTTTGAGAATGAGGTGTTTGGGGGAGCCTGAGAGCAGATAGTTTCCTTCTTAAGGGCTTTTCTATGATTGGCATGGTACCAGGTCGCTTCCCAGGAGGTTATCAGAGGGGTCTTTTTATGTGGGATCTGGGGAGCTTGATCCCCAGATCATGCTCTGGGGAAGGTGGCTCTAGGTGTGCCAAGCCTACGGCCGCCCCTCTTTGCTGTGCTCTAGGAGATGCCTGAGCAGGTACAAACCTGGCTCCTTTGAAGCCCTGTCCTTGGCTGATCATTTGGGCATGTCTCTGTGCTCTTGTTGGCCACACTTTAGGTGTCCAGACTTCATTTTCTCCCTTTGAGCCCTCACCAGCACATCTTCTCCAAAGACAGTGTGTGTAGACACAATCACGGAGGTTGCTTCTCTCTTACACCAGAAGCCATGTGTTTGTGGCCCAGGCAGCTGGCCAGCCCAGAACTTTCCCATGTGACCATGAGGATGGGCAGTCAAGTCCACCAGGCTGGCACTTAGAAGGACTGGAGGAGATGCTTTGGTACGTGGTGAGCAGCACCTCCAAGGACCTGTGCTGCTGCTATGGGCTTGAAGCTGACTACCTGGGGAATTAGAACAGACCATCTAGCTCCTTTCAGCTGAGTGTTACATTCAAAAAAAAAAAAAAAGAGAAAGATTTGGAACTGATCGTCTATTGCACACGTTCTTTTCTAACTTTTCTTCCATTTAACTTTCAGCTCCTAACTATTGATGACAACTTCTGTGGCCTGGATATGAATGCCCCTCTGGGAGTGTCTGAAATGGTACGTGGCATTCCCGTCTTCACAGAGGACAGGGACCGCATGACTTCCGTCATCGCCTATGTCTACAAGAACCACTCTCTGGCCTTCGTGGGCACAAAAAGTGGCAAGCTAAAGAAGGTAGGAGTGAGAGGCGTTTGTTTTGATTATTGTGAAGACGGTCTATCCCCGCAGTGTCTTACTGTCGTGGGCCTGGCTGGCCGGGAAGACAGAGTTGAGCTGAGGAGATATGCTGATGTTGAGGTTATAGATGTTGTGTGTCCTTTCTCTGCCTTCATCTGTAGGCTGGTGTGGGAATCAGGCTGCAGGAGTGGGTGGATTCACCCTTCCCAAGAGCTGGCATGCACATGAGACTTGTTAGCCCAGTCTTCCTGGGTGGTTCCAAATGGTGTATTCTGTTCCACTTGGCCTTGTGGCCTTAGGCAAGGTCTCTATTAAGCCTAGGTAGCTGGAGAAGGTGGAGTCGGGGGAGGGCTGTGCCTGTTCCCCTTGTTCCAGCCCTTATGGGCTGGTGCATCCATCTGGAATTCATTCAGGGAACAGATGGAGCAATGTGCAGACCTGCTTGAGAGCTGCTAATGGAGCTAAGAGCCAGCTTGCGAGAGGAGGACACCATGGCTGCAGTGGAAACACAGAAGTGGCTTCTGGATGGTTGGAATCATATGGTGTGAGAACTTGGCCTGTAACCCTTGTCCTGGTACAGTGGGCCTATGGCAGTGTCAGGTGTCATGTGAACCTTCCCATTCAGAAATATTCTCAGCCATGGATCCTCAAGGGGGTTGGAAGCAGCTCTATTGTGAGCTGTCTTTGATAGGGTTAAGTCTTTCTAACTCTGGAAATCAGAGGTCCTGCTTTCTATTGGCTAGTTATTAGTTGCTCTTTTGCACTTATTTAATTTTCCCTTGGCATTTTCCAAACATTGTGTGATTTAGACTAAGTAAAATGATGATGACTGAACCTTGATCCCTCCTTTCCCTTTGATGTATGTCTTGGCACTAACTATGAATGGCCACAAGGACATATTCTATGTAAGTCTAGAAGGCTGTGTCTACTCTACCATCTTCATGTGGACTTGATATTCAGGCAAAAGTTGTAGGTCTGGATTGTAACAGTATGGAGGGCGTGTGAGACAGGAACAGGAGGGAGAGGTGGGTGTATAAATAATTATTGAATATCTGGAAAAGAAAACAGGGTCTGTTGCTAGAGTGCCACAGAAAGTTCTCAGCAGAAAGCACAGGTGGTACTTACTGTGTGCCTAATCTACTGGATTTCATTGTCTTGTCTTCAGTGCCACAGCTGAAAGACAATCTACCCATTGTCTGCACATCCTCAAGAATTACATTTCCTGGGTCCCTGCCCCCTTTTGTGTCATGCATAATTGCATCCCTTCTCACTGCCAGTGGTTCCTTGGGGTTTCTAGCGGTGTTTTGAACTGAAGTCTATAGACAGCCAGAGAATGTGCAGCAAGGTGTTAGTCCTCAAATAGCTCTGGTGTCAAATTGCTGCCACCTGCCTGTTGCTTCTTCTCAGGCTCTCCCATGATCTGGCAGTCATCACGTTGTCAATGTAGGAGATGTGGCCAGCTTTCCCTTCTTTTAGGCTGAGGCTTCAAGTTTTGAGTGGGCTAGGAGATTAGATCTCCAAAGTTACTGAACACATGTCTAGTAGGCCTGAATGCAACCAAGAAGAGAAGTCTGTGACTTTCCTATAGTCACAGACCTTCTCCTGGTTCTTCAGAAGTACTCTGCTTTTGCTATTATTCACTATGTTGGAAAAGTGAATTCTAATTCCCAGAGGCATGCTGTGGTTTGAATCATCTGTGAGACGCTTGGCCCTAGCAGAAGAAGGTGGAACCTTTGGGAGTTGGGGACTAGTACAAGGCTCCATGGTCATCAGGTCTTGCCCTTGAATGGAATGGCCTAATCCCATTCCTTTATTTCTCTCTCTCTGTCTCTGTCTCTCCTTTTCCTCTTTCTGCCTTATGATGTAAATTACTTTTTTCCCATCACATGTTGCTATTGTCATGTTGTATCAACTTGCCACTCTCCCAAAACAATGAGGCCAAGTGAAATTAGACTGGAACCTTCTCAGTTGTGAACCCAAATCACCCTTTCTTTTTTATAATTTAATTGTCTTGGGTATTTTGTGATAGTGGTAAGACACTATCCAATACAATCACCATACACAATTCATTCAATGAAGTGTCTATTTATTGGCTACATCAGCTCCCATAGGGAGAATAAACACTATTGAGGGTAGGTCCACAAGCACTTTGGTGTTGAGATTGTCTCAGTCTCATTGGACCTGTTTCTCTCCACCCAATCAGTTCCCCACAGCCATTATGAAATAACCATTCTGAGACAATATTTATTTATAATTGTTTGACCATTGGCTTAGGCTCCTTATTGGCTAGTTCTTTCTTTCTTAATTATTAACCCATAACTATTAACCTGTGTATCTCCACATGGCCTTATCTTACCGGAGAATGCCTGGGTGTCCTACCTTCCTAGTAACTCTCCGACTCCACCTATTACCTTTCTCTCTCCATGTCCAGATTTTCTGCCTGGCTGAATCCTGCCTGATCATTGGTCAAAACAGCTTTATTCATCAACCAAAAAGAGAACTGTATATTCACAACATTCAGAAGGACATTCCCCATCACTTAGGGGTGCTTTAACTCTTTTCTCTGGTGAGCCCCATATTAGTAAAATGGAGAAGCAACTTCCTTTACTCTAAAAGACTGTTACCCAAAGAATCCGAGACTAGCTGTCCAGACAGAATAGCCCCTGGCTGAGGGGTAATTTTATGTCATTTCTGGAGTTGTTTAGACTATGTTGCCAGCAACAGGAATGTGGAGAGTTCTTTGCACAGAACAGGCAGTTATTGATGAAAATAGACTTTTTCTAGACTCAACTGCACTGTAAATCTGAGATGATTTAGAACAGTGCAGAAGCGTGTTCCTTGCCACTGAGACTCAATGCCACAGCTCCGTGAGTGGCTGTGAGCATAGCCCAGGAGCCTGAGTGAGCAAATGCACAGAAACCACCCTTCTGGCAGAATGTAGAGGCAGAGTCATGCATGGGTGACAGGCAACACCTAATGGGAAACTTGAGGGCATTCTCAGTCACATGCAGGCTGGTATTTCCCATCTTCCCCTTGGGTGGGTCTGTAAAAGAGCAGTCCAGTTTGAGCCACCTGAGATGTTATATTTAATTTCCACAGCAGTGCTGTGTGGCTGGTGAGGCATAAATATCTGAAAGCTAGGAGTAGAGGTGTTGCATGGGGGGAATGAGCTGGCCCTTCTCCTGGTGGGCCGGTGTGGGGGGTGCTCACCACCCAGGCAGCTAAACTTTCTGCTCCACAGGTTCAGAGTGGCAGCCACTTAATAGCTTTGCTCAAGCCTGGTGTCTGCTTCTGCAGACTCAGCACAGCCAGCCCAGGGGACAGTCTGAGTTGGAAAAGGAAAGCAGGACTACCATGTCTGTTGTTTGAAATAATAAAAAGTGAAAGTGGCCGGTTTGTTTCTTTTCCTAGACAATAGAATTTCCCACCGCCAATAGCTCAAGGGCACCACGCCCCTTTCCCTGCAATAACTCTGATTTGCTTTTTCCCAGAGGTTATCAGACCCACTGCCACCTTTCTGGGCAGAGGCCCAGCCATAGCTGGCTGGAGGCTGCAGCTGAACTTTGCAGCAAGTTTTGTGAGCCACTGAGCCCAGGGTGTGAGAATAATGACAATCACACAGTAGCCGTAATTATGGAGTTGGCGTCTTCTAGCCCTGTAATAATCTCCTGAGTGTACAAGGGCCTTTCAGAGTTCTTTGCAAGCGTGACAAGGGACTCGAAGTGGGCAAGGTGGGCGGGAAGGGGCTTGGATGGTTGCTGAGAGTAAGGGAAGTTGACTGTGGGCTTTGGGGACCTGAGAGCTAGACTCCAGCTATCCATAGGCTGCCCTCGAAATTACTGACTTTTCATTTTGTTTGAAATGTATGGGTTCCAATTATTTTCAGCCTTGCCTTTGATGACCATAATTTCGCTCCTTGAGTGCACATCACATGAGGCAAGGGGAAAGGAGGTGAGGAAAGTGCCAATTTGGATGTCTTTTGTATTTTCTGGTGTGTGTGTGTGTGTGTGTGTGTGTGTGTGTGTGTGTGTGCGCGCATGTGTGTGTGTGCATGTGCGTGAGCACGCATTTGGCAGACTTTCCCTGTGGTGAACATAAAAGGCATGTTCTGTTAAGAAATCTGGCATATAAATGCTGAAATCATCAGGAGGTGCCCGGGAACTCTGAGGAACCCACAGCCTGTTAAAATTTCATCTGCAGGCAAAATCCATGAAGCAAACACCATCTTGACTTGCTTTAGGGTGTCTGTGTGAATGTTGGGGTATCTAGATTAAAAATCTGTTTGCTTAAGTATCTCTGCTGCAGTCCTCTCTGACTCCCTCTTTGCAGTAAGTGGTCATATTTTATAGTTTCTGATCAGCCCTGAGTTCTGCCTGACAACAGAGGAAGAGACTGACGTTCCTCGTGAGCCACAACATGATAAACTTCCTCTGGAGGTGTGATCGCTCCTTTCGCTCTGCGCTTGTGTTTTTCCCAAGTGTTTTCTGCCGCATTACACTGTTCCTATCTAAGGGCGGAACGCTCACCAGTGTTGGTTAAACAGAGCTCTGGCTCTTTCTGCTGTGTGTCTGTATTCCTATTGCTCCTAGCTGTGATCAAATACCTGCAGGAAGCAACTTGAGGGAGGAAAGATTTCATCTGGCTCTTGGTTCAGGGGCTGCAGCCCAGCCTGGGTGGGAAGGCATGGCAGTGGCATTGGTTCTGGCCATGGCAGCAGGTAACTGCTTTCTCACGTCTCTGTGGATGAGGGTATAGAGAAAGGGAAATACTAAAAGGATCTCTGTTTTTGTTTGTTTGTTTGTTTGTTTGTTTGTTTTTGTTTTTGTTCAGATGAGGACCCCACCCACATTGAGGATTGACATTACCCTCCTCAATTAATCCTTTGGGAGAAGCATACAGATACTCTTAAAGGTGCATTTCACTAACATCCTAGGCATTTCTTAATCCCATCAAGGTGGCACTTGAAATGATCTAGGACAGAGCCTGCAGCAGGGTGT